TTTGGTTGATTTGGCAATACTACAACCATCACAGTGAATATCATACATGCTTGTGCACAGAAGACCGCTTCCTTGTACTGGCAGAGGTGTAATCTGCTGAATCCTGACGAATCTACCCTCGACCTTTTTGACCAGGGCGGATTCGCGTACTCCCCAACTCTTAACCAGGGATACCCTTGCCTCCTCCTCTCTTCCCCGGGACGGTGTCCATCCGATATTCCTTATCCTACGTTCCCAGCAACCTAGCCCTATCGCTAGGCTCCTTAGTTCCTTGGATACTTCCGCTGTGTACGAAAAACCGTCGCTATGCTCCGCCATGTATACTCCCATGGGTGATACCGGATCTATCCCACATCCTCCGACTGCATTGGGTGTTATGGCGTATGACGCTACAACCCTCCTATCTAGACCTTTGTCTTCCATGTTCTCCAGGAAGATAGCTGCACATTCAGCAACGTTTGCCTCTCGTAGTCCGACTAGGTGCCATTGGCTTAGTGTGGAGTATACGCGTTGATGTATATCAATAGGTGTTTCCTGGACCGGATTCTTGAACCGTATATTGACCATACTTCTTGCGACATAGCCTGTCACCCCCGTAGGTTCGTAACTCCTTCTTAGGAACTCTCCTCTCCATCGCGATATGTATGTCTTCATAGGGTGTACCTCATATCCTATCTGGCCGTAGGTGTCTATAATGTACTTTGTGAACAATAGTGAGTCGGTGGTAAAGATGACGTCATCTCCTTGCGCATAAAAGTTGCCAACATATGCTCGTTCACAGATTCTCCCTTGTGCTATTTTCGCTAGCGCCCTGAAGGAACACACGTTTAGGATTGTGTCTAAGACGGCCGTCCACCTCCAACCTGACGGTAGTCCATTCCTCCACTCCCCCACTCGATTCCCACACTGTACCTTGGCCCCTAACACGAAGAGTGAATCCCACAGAGCCTTCCATACCTTTGAGAAATCCGTACCTTGTGCGTACTTCTCTATGTACAAACCCACACGTTCTAACACGACCATGATCGACTTCTTACTCTGATGTTGATCGAACCCTCCTTGGTCCAACGGTACCTTCAGGATATCCCGCTGTCTGACGGCGTTTATTAAGTCCATATCTATCAACTCGTTTCCCGCTTCACCCGCAAAGAGTGTGCTTAGCCGGCTACCGTACAGCCCTACCTCCAAGAAAGACGATAGGTAGTTCATCTTCCTGTTCACCTCGTTTCCGGTCTTAACAACAGGTCTAACCTTCATAGTCTCACTCTTCTGCAATACTACCATCTTCTCCCTCACCGGCACTATCAATTCATTAATGATGGCCTCATCCGTTTTGAGCACTCCCTCGGTGGGTTTTGACCCTAATCTGTGCTTCTTTCCCTCCACGTACACCTCGATCTTTTGGCCCGTGCCTGCTCTACCCTCCAACCACTTTCCGGTCTTTACCCACTCCTCAATCGTGGGTACACTTGAGGGTAGCTCCCACTCTGACTGCATGAAGGCATCCACCTCTTCCCCGAGCAACTCTAGATATTTCGTTTCCCCTAAAGGTCCGCCCAATATGAGTTCGTCACATAGCCATTTCTTCACCTCAGCCCATAGATCGTCCTGGCTTTTGTATGACACATATCCAAAACTGGTCTCCCAGTAACAGAATTCTCTCCAGTATGGTGTTATACGTGTGCCCCCCATCTTGAGGAAGCCAGTCTCAATCTTGAGAATCTTGCATATACCATGTTTACATGCCTTAGGATATTTTTTCCTTAAACGTCTATATCTATCCATCATTCCCTCTGTTACGTCCTCGTATGGGTCCTTGCCTTTATTTAAAGTGCTAAAGCACACCTTGACCTAACTATCTATTTTAAGGGAATAGGTATAGGATACAAAAGGATTGACACGAGATTTCTATACAATTTATATTCTTTAATATTTTAATACTCGGTTACATACCAACGACTGCTTAGCTTGGCCTAGTCGGCGGTTCGGGTGTCGGTTGCCTCTACGCTGACACTAGTCACTTCCCGTTACAAGTATTTAATATCTAATTTTAACTTCTCGAGTTCCCAGCAGTTTCTATGCAATGCGTTCGTCCCTCGGGTAAGCCGTTTAAGAATCCTTCGATTCAGGGAAACAGCTGAACGATGCTTTGAAACCGATGAGGACTCGGGCAGAGTCGCGGGTTAAGAATCCACAATCAAAACTGGAGTGCGGGGGCCGACCCCCAGGCTTTATAGCCTAAATGCTAGAAGTCAGCAATCAATTCACCTTGAATGATTTCCACGTGTCCCGGTCTTTGACGGTCTTTCGGAATACCTTAATATCGTCGAAATGCTTAGTCGTCATTTTGACACNGGAGAGTGTCTCATTTTGATAGTATAGTCAAGTTATCGGCACGTTTACAAGTTAACTCAAGGTATCCCACTCCTGACACCAAATTTGTTACGTCCTAGTACGGGTCCTTGCCTTTATTTAAAGTGCTAAAGCACACCTTGACCTAACTATCTATTTTAAGGGAATAGGTATAGGATACAAAAGGATTGACACGAGATTTCTATACAATTTATATTCTTTAATATTTTAATACTCGGTTACATACCAACGACTGCTTAGCTTGGCCTAGTCGGCGGTTCGGGTGTCGGTTGCCTCTACGCTGACACTAGTCACTTCCCGTTACAAGTATTTAATATCTAATTTTAACTTCTCGAGTTCCCAGCAGTTTCTATGCAATGCGTTCGTCCCTCGGGTAAGCCGTTTAAGAATCCTTCGATTCAGGGAAACAGCTGAACGATGCTTTGAAACCGATGAGGACTCGGGCAGAGTCGCGGGTTAAGAATCCACAATCAAAACTGGAGTGCGGGGGCCGACCCCCAGGCTTTATAGCCTAAATGCTAGAAGTCAGCAATCAATTCACCTTGAATGATTTCCACGTGTCCCGGTCTTTGACGGTCTTTCGGAATACCTTAATATCGTCGAAATGCTTAGTCGTCATTTTGACACGCGCCGCATTTCGAACGCATATCGGTCCCACGGCCTGAGGTGTCGAACTGATGGGTCATCACAATTTGATGCTCGTTGGCTGTTACCAAGCGCGAATTAAAAAAAGCGACAAATGGCAAGGAATTTAGCCCTTTCACAGGGCTATAACACCTCCCCTCTACGGGGGTAGGCTGTTCTTACAAGCATGTGGACTCCGTCCTCCAGCATGCCCCTCCCAAGCTTACACCCCATGCACTCCTTCCTACAGTTGATATACATTTTGACATTCTTAAGGGCAAACTCGTCATATTCCGCGTTCCATGCCCTATGCCCACATCCGCAGTCCATGTCAATTCCCATCTCTAATTGTTGTTCGGCTATCTTCTCCCCTTTCTCTATTTAAAGAGGGCTGGTGACCATACCCATTCCGGCCATATTGATGCTGGCTCCTTCCATTCTATTCTGCTCTCCTCTGTGCAGCTGCACTGAAGGTGGACTGTTCCTCCTTCTTCCCATGCTCGTCCACGCCATCCGGCCGGCTGACCACAGCCTCTACAACTCCTGAAGGCGTTGTCATATCTGGACTCCTCTTTAGTAGCACGTCCCTCTTTTTCTCCTCGTTGACCGTGCTGTCCAGATCGCTTGGATTCGCTGCAGCTCTGTCTTTCGCTCCCCTCGCGAGTCGCGCCTCCTCCAGCTCCCGCTCCAGCCAGATGATCCGCTCCTCCTGCGTCATTTCCTTGTTCCTGCCTCCCGCGGGCGCTACGGGCAGCCGTCCCTTTTAACATATCCTCTCTTGTTTCAAAAGCGTCACCATCTATCCCCATCAACCTGCCCAGATAGTGCTGCTGGATGCCTGTGGTAGGACCATCCCTGACGCCTCTGTATATTATGGTACCGTCACCGTACGTGTTTCCTGTCATAGTGCGCACTAATCCCACCGGTAGCACTAACGTCCTTAGTTTTTTCTTCCTAAAGTCCTTGATCCGCACCTGCAGACCCCATCCCCACCGGTCCGCTTTAGGTACGACGGTACCCAATTCGCGCCACCCCATTTCCCAAGCCATTCTCCCTCCGTGGCTTGAGTCTACCACGAAGGAGTATCCGTCCAACCGCTCGTAATTGGGGTGCGTCTCATACGTCAAACCCCAATCGACCCCTTCCGTTGTCAAGTCTATCCTGCATAGGGCCTGTTCCAGCTGCCAATCGTCATTTCCCTCCCCGAATTGTCGGTAGCAATTCTCTGTCCACCTTCCACCCGTATCGTCGAGTGCATAGGCGTCATTCCCGGACCTACTAGTCCCGCAAATTTTGAACTCCGACCACTCGGTATTCTCGACGGTTCGCATCCACGATGATGGCGTTCTTATCCCTGTCATCGTGGCTATCCCCCCAGTCCTAGCTGCGCTGTTCATATTCCAATTCCAGGTTACATGTGGCGTCAGGAAAGTTCGGGCAAACCATTCTGTTGTATATCCTTTGTCCTCACCCCCTGCTCCACTGATGATATTCACCCAATAGTTCAGTGAGTAATCTACCTCGCCGGGGAAGGCTATCCGCTCGGTATGGGCTGCCGATTTTTTGAATTGTTCAAAGCCTTTCCTTAGATAGGCTCCGCGGCTCAATCTGTCTATCCCTCCGCTGAAGCACCTTGCTCTAGTGGCGCTTGGTTTCTCAACATTGCGAGTGTCGAATGTAGCATAGCCCGTCGCTACTGCTAGGCTTGCCATGTTGCCCCAGTTGCCTAGCAATATTGAGTAATTCTCCCTGGCTGTCCTCCTTTGCACAAATCTCTGATCGATCCCGTTGACGCTGTTTTTACTCCCATATCCCCCGTAGGATCTCTCATTTATACTATCGTTGGGCTTTAAACCGATAGCTTCTAACACATTCCTCGATGCACCTATGTATGTCGTGGTCTCATCGTTGTGGACACCCTCTATCTTTTGGTGCCACCTTACCGTTAACATCACCGACAGTGAGTTAATCTCCTGCCAGTTTATGCCCTTCGGGAAATACGGCTTGGTATACGCGTCAAAGGCAACCCTCAGAGGATATGCAGACTCTAAGGCCCTATGCAGCATATCGGTTATAGTACAATCCATATCATAAGCTGGTATGTCCCTACCCTGCGGCATTTCCCCCTTATAGTTCGTCGTGACTACGGGGTACTCGCGACCCGCTAAGGTCACGGTGTCAGTTGTCTTCGTGGGGGTTACGAAGATGATTTTCGTCGCAGGTTCGTGTATATCTACCAGGCCTGCAGTCCTTATGAAAAACTCTTCTCTACGGCCTTCTTCCCCCAACACCTGCATTTCCATTTTGTCTAGAACCCACATTAGTGGGTACTTGAGGTGGCTTAAAATCCACATGTCGCGTCCGTACAATAAGGGATCTCCGTTCTCTCCCACAGGTATGAACTTGATGTCCGGATCATTAAGGGACCAACGTCCCCCGTTATTCCCCCCCACCCTGATAGATCCCCCTTGCCTAATGCTCCATTCTAACACGTCAGTATTTACAAAAATGGCATCGTAATGCCAGTCACCGAGCGTGGATAAACTTAACCTGTAGGGCCGTTCGGCGACCTGATCGTCCGGTCCCCTTGTACACCACGCATAGTCCACACCCGATGGTTGGACCACCCTAATCTCACGTAGCTCGTCGTAAAGATCTACTTTCAGTGCCAACGTTCGATAGTCGTGATTCTCACCAGCGACGGCCCTATCTACTGCAGTCGCTAGCTGGGTGGTGTTGGCCAGGAAACCGTATGTATAGATTCCCTTTGAGGGATTGATGAGTCCAGGGGTTGACGGCTGCGGGTTAACTCCAGCTTCTATCATCTTATCCCCCGCACCAGTCCTTTCTAGCGCACCATGATTTCTGCGTGTGTCTACACCTACACCTATCCACTTGAGTTGTTTTATGAGTCTTCTTCTATCACAACTCTCATTGCCAGTGGAGGTGCTGTTAATTGTCTCTCTTTCGTGTTCCCGTGTACACTGGGTACATCGCACCTCCCCCTCTACTCCGCCTAGACCTGCCCCGGGCATTATCAACGCCGTACGGACCTCGTTGATTTGGCTATCTCCAGTGTCCACGATCGCTGATGTCCCTGCGTTCGTGTGGTCTTGGTCCTCTGCGTGGGATGTATCTTGACTACCCCCGTTCCCTACTCCTCTGCCTCCTCCTTCAGTCGGTATGTCCTCCACGCTCGTCCTCACACTGCTGGATAACACATTGTTGCCCAGGTTGTCCTCTACAAGCGAGACGTCACCCGCATCTCCAAAGAACTGGTGCAGCGTCCCTGCTATGGTGGAAGCTTGATGGCCCACCCCAATATCTCTGCTGTAATACAGCCTGGGGAGGTGGCGCATTAGGCGGTTTATGTTTTGCCCTGGTCTGGGCACAGGCTCCACTTGGACGGTCTCCTTATCCCAGAACATGGTACGGGAGTGTTTGATGACCTCTGTTCTGCTAGGGTAGCTACCGTGCAGTGTATCAATGTTCCCATTCGTGGAGTGCATCTCTTTATTGTGCGCCAGCGCCGCTGCCTCCAACCAGCCCTTGTTGACTGGACCTCCTGCTAGACGCTCGAACATGTCGTCTGGAGTCATGTTTCGCGGTTCTCTCTCGTCGAAGGTGATTGTCTCAGGCACAGAGTCGCCTTTGATTTCATGGTATAGGCAGAAGGGACACACTCCCCCCGCTCGGATGCTTGCAGCCATATGGCCGGAAACTATGAGTTTGGAAAAAGCATCTCGAGCAAGGTGATCGTGACCCGCCCACTCCACGCGATCGTGGCAATCCGCTACCTCAGTGTCGTCTTCGTCGTCGGTTCTCTTCCCATCTGTAGGTTCTTGGGATGTGGTCTCTACCTCGTTGTAGGCCCAGAGTCGAACCATATTCAAAACCCTCTTGGCGTATAGCCTCTTGTCCTTCACATGGCCGTCAGGTATGCGTGACTGCCATAATTTCAGGGTGCCGTCGTTGATTCTTGAGAATAGGACTTTCGCCACTGCCACGGCCCAGTGCCTATTCTTCCCGCCTGTGCCTAGCAGACCCATGATCCTGAGCGGTTGATTATGAATTTTGTCCGCCACCGTTCGTGCTCGTTGGACCAAGCTAGGCCTCTTCTTCTTCGGTTTCTCCTCCGCCTGTCCCTCTAGCCCTACTCCGGAGGACTTGTCTTTGTCAGACCTAGTATAGGTCTTAACTGGCTGATCCCCCGAAAGTGTACGGCAGCCCGCAAGAAATTGACACCTACCTAGAACATGTAACAAATGCAATAATGAATGCGGCAGACGAAGCTCTGACATGTAAGACAAAAGGTTTTCACAGTAAACTTCCCTGGTGGAGCACAAGTCTACAAAAAGTGAACGAAAGATGTAAAAAACTAAGAAGGAAAGCTCGCAGAACAAATAGAACCAGAGACAAACGAAAACAACGAAGGGCAGAACTGAAACTAAGCAGAATGATCGGAGAGGCAAAGAGGAAATCTTGGCGAGGCTTTTGCAAAGGTTTAAAAAAGGTACAAGATATAGCGAGGATAAACAGGGTCCTAGAAAGGGTTGACCAAAATAGTTTAGGACTTTTAACAAAAGGAGACGGTACACTAACTAACAATATTAAAGAAACACTTGAAGTATTGATAGCAGAACATTTCCCAGGAGCAATAAATAACACAAGCACTGAACAAAGATCAAACGAAGAAATAGAAAGAGTCTGTTTAACGAGAAATCCCAGACCAGACTGGGGACTAGCGTCAAAAATTATATCGGAAGAAAAGATTAACTGGGCAATAAGCACCTTCCTCCCATATAAAACACCTGGACCTGATGGAATATTTCCCAAATTTTTGAAAGCCGGCCGACAACTAATCACGCCACACTTGGCAAAAATAATGAGAGCCAGTCTGGCCATAGGCTATATGCCAATAGATTGGAGAAGAACAAAAATAACGTTCATACCGAAACCAGGAAAGACGGATTACTCCTCACCTAAAGCGTTCAGACCAATAAGCCTGACATCATTTCTACTAAAAACTATGGAAAAACAAATAGACAGATATATGAAAGATACAGTGTTGGTTGAAAGACCACTATCTCCCAGACAATACGCTTTTCGCGTTGGACACTCGGTAGAAGCTGCACTGCATGGAATAACGAGATACCTCGAAGACGCCTATTACAATAGAAAATACGCGGTGGCGTGTTTTATGGACATAGAAGGAGC